AATGGAGAGCACAGATTATTTAGACTTGATGTACTTGTATAGAAGAAACCATTATACCATGACATAAGTGGATCGAGGCAGGAAATTCAGTTCTGCCACTGAAAGAATTGAAATGATTAGCAGTGACCAAATAAGAATCATGGAAGCAATGTGAAAATAATATATCACTTTTAGTTTAGTTTTAACTTCTACTCATTCCCAAACTAGTTGGAGTCAAACTACAAAAGTAAATACCTGCATACAAAAGTAAACTAGCAGGCATCATCATATATTCTAACCCTCCCACCACCTACCCTTTCTTATTCCTACCACTTCAAATCGTTAGCTCTTCTTCACAGGACCATCAATAGGCTTGTGGATGCTGTGAACCACGTATAAAAATACAGAATATTTTCGTCCAGTTCAGGATTCCATGGAAGTTGTATTGCCATACAAGGTTTACTGGCCTATAACTTGAGATTAATGTGGATTTCAGAATCTCTCTCAGGATAGCTAACCCATAGATAGATATGAAAGGAAAACTGTTTCCTGACCTTTTCAAACTCTTGATTGCTTGAAACTTCATATGAAGGGTGCGGGGCTTAAGACAAGACGTGGAAAAAAAAAAACCAATATTGAGTTCTTTAACTGAAAGGAAATGAGGTTTAATCCTATCTTGTAGGTGATAGAAGGAGAACGAAATTCAAAGAAACCATGCATTAACATATTTAGAACCTCAGTTGACCTTATTCATTCTTGGCCGATTTATCACATCAGAAATTTCCTCAAGAATGAGTTTTCTATTATTATTATTTTTCTTGTTTTTTCATTCTCATGTACCATGGGTTATGCTAGGTAAGTAGTATTTAACTCAAATAAACCTTACGGACTCAGATAAAAAGTTATATAACTGTACTCTGTCTGTGTCAGTGTGTGTTGTGAGGCGGATGATCTCAGTCAGTGTATTGCATTACCTTCAGAACTTTGCTGTCCACTGGATGAACGCATTGATTTACATGTTTTCTCATTAATTTCAACCACAACCTGACGTGATAAGAGAAGCCCCGCAATAAGAGCACCGAGCATCAGCATCACAAAAACTGTATTCCATCCTTTAGTTGAAAGAAACCCAGTGAGAAGAGGACCAAGAGCTGCACCAATTGATCCAGTACCATCAATAATGGCAGTGACTGTTGCCAATGCTCGAGAATCCCCTCTAAGAGAACTGTGTGTACCAAGGTCAGCAGATACTGCAGTTGTGATAAGTGCATATGGCCCATTTATGAATAAGCCAGCAATCATCATGAGTACAATGTTCACAGTCCGTGATAGATTCCCATATAAGCGGTATAAAAGCATAGAAGGAATTGCAGCATACATGAAACTGGCTGCTGTGATAGCCCGAGCTCTAAGTTTATCAGATATATGGCCAGCAAGAATTCCACCAACAATGCCCCCCACATCAAACAGGGTTGAGAGATTTCCAGCTGACTTCACAGACATATATTCTCCACCAATTTCTGCAGTTTTAAAAACTTGGACTCTTAAGTGTACAAAACAGGATAATCTTGTAAAGATTTCTGACAGCTTGCAAAAACTTATTTTGAAAATTGTATGTGTTCGCAAGAAAACATCCAATTACTGTGAATGCTCTATTCCAGTGACAATATCCTTATGCAGATTATATGCTTGATTTGATATATAAGGATTTCAGTGATGAGTTTCATCTACGTCTCTCGAGCCTAGTTAATCTCATGTTCTACTTCTCATTATTAGTAACAGGTGGCAAAGCAGCTCTATAGTGAGGCTACATGACCATCCTCAAAACCCCTGCATGGCTGAACTAGGAATTTTTATTAGTCAAGCAATTGTACCACAATCTATTACTATTTCAAACTTGCAACTGGAAGTTTGAAACTGCTTTTTATAATGGTCCCCTAAAGCCAATGCCTAGCCCCCCAAAAAGCTATGTGCATCATGATGTAACAAGATTTAACGGTTTGCGACAAGTCCTCAAAATTAACTGATAAGCATGTCAACAGATATAGTAAAGTGAAACTGGTACGAAAGCAGATGACAAGTTAGAATTTAAAATGTCAACAAGAAATTGCAGAATACAACACATTTTTAATTTAAACTTTAAAGTCAAAATTTTAGTTAAATGAAGATAAAATGATGACCATAACTCTTACATAATGCTCCAATAAGAATTGATCAAGGACTAATCAAAACTTAATTTTCAACATATGATAAGTGTGATGTCACAGTTGCAGAGAACGAATTAAACACGAGTCACAAATTGTTCACGTGATCCATCAAACTGCATTGTTTCAAACAGGCCACAACCTACTGTCAAAAACATGTTCCAGGCTTCCGGAATTGTTCTGACAGCCTCCAATAGTAAAATAAACCCCACCCCGTCCCCCCACTTTTTTTTTTGCTTTATTTGATAAATCATTTCAAGTGAAAGCTGCAGATTGAGGAAATCTCATTTGAGCAAAAAACAAAAAATCAAACACTCAACAGATTGAGTGATGAAATAGGTGCTCCCTGCTGAGTAAAATCATTAAGTTCACCAACGAGATCTTAGCCCCTAAGAGCCCTTCATGCTACCTTGATGCTTGATTGATTGCAGTGAATTAGTGAATCCCTGCAACTTGCAATCCTTTCTGTATTGCTAGTCAAAATCCAAGAACAATATAGCACAAACCAGCAAACAAAATCTTATTCAAGAAACAAGGTTAGCAACCAATGAAATACAAAATTCTAATAGCGGAAATTGGATGCCAGATAATACCTGTCTGGCTCAAATAAAACGGCAACCAATACAAAAATGTGTAAGCCACGAGCTTGGAGAAGAACAGGCAAAATGCAAATGGTATCACTCCTGGTATCAAGCAAGCTTCAAGAAGCCCAACACTTCTCCTAGCCCCAGATCTGTCTCGGATGGGAGTACTCTTCCCCTCTTCCACAGTACCTTCATTCTGTGTCTGAGCTTCTACATCGCAAGGCACTGCCTCTGCCCTTGCTGCTGGGCCATTTGGGCAAGGAAATCCAATATCCTCAGGATAAGCAGCTAAAAACAAGAAAACCAATATCCCTGCTATTGCAATAAATGTGCCCGGAGCAATAAAATACCATCCCCAACCGTACTCCAAAACACTTGCAGCAATAAGAGAGCCAGTAATATTCCCAACTGAAGTATGTGCATTCCAAATACCCATTATTAACCCTCTCTTCCTTTTCCCAAACCAATTACCAATCACAGCCACAACAGAAGGCCAACCTGTGGCTTGAAACAACCCAGCAACCATTTGCATAACCAAATAAAACCCGAAAACATGAATGTTCCAAAAGTATCCCATACCAAATAACCCCACAAAAATTCCACTACCAATCATCCCAGAAGTCAAAAACAACCTCAAATCCAATGTATCACCTAAATGGCCAGCACCAAACATTCCCAAAGAATAACAAGCAAGAAATGCAACATCAATCAAACCCAATTTCTCTGTCCCATCTTTCCCATTAAATGGTTCCCAACCTTTATATCCAAACTTACCCTTGTTTTCACTCGAGAATTCATCTTTAACAAAGACATTTCCAATTGGCCAAGGGTACACATTTGTGGTCTTGTTGGGTTCAGGATCCAATGCACTCTTGACTATGCTACTGGGTTTTCTTGATGCATGGTAACTAGTATATGCAATGAAAGTAACCAACAAAACCATGTATCTATGTGTCTTAAGACTATAGTCTTTGCCTCTTATTTTCCTTATAAGCCAAATCCCAGGTGGGATTTTCCTCATTGCATCTAAATTATTAGCCATCTCTAAATTCACAAACAGGATTATCCAATCACTAAACCAAGACAGAACATACTAGATACTACCACATTCTTCGGGAAAGAAAACAGATATTGCCATGAATAAAAGCAATAGCAAGTATAATACGAGAAACAGAATCAAATTCTCAAGAAAATCACCTACTAGCAAGAAACAAATAAGATTTTGTTTTGATAGCAACAAATGGTCGAGAGGGAAGAGCCAAAACAAATTCAAGAAATTTCAGCTTCCAGCGCGTATCAATCTGTAGTTGTTGAATTCATTAAGTTCGAGATTCAAGAGAGCGTGTAGGGATGAGGGTTTCCTCAAGTTCTGGTGTTGGAGCGAGAGAGGGGTTATGTTATGTGAGAGATGAGAGGAAGGGAGAGAATGGCGGGAGAGGAAAGAGAGAGCAAGGAGGGCGGGTCAGGGCAGAAGGAAACGGAGGGCACGTGGCGAGAGGTGGGAATTCGAAACTGGAATCATACGCTTTTTGGTGCCACGCAGATGCAGTCAACCGCGATGAAATAACTCCTAGAAAGCAGTTAATATGCTTACGCAGGACCTTTCTTATTTCCGCGTGGCATGTGCCTCTCCCCTAAAATAGGATTTGTCACTTTAGAGCACACACCCCTTTGGCATTGATGTTTCTTCTCTCAAAAAACATATAATTAGATACGATAAAAATACGTACATGAATATCATTATAAAAAAAATTAGTATCAATTTTATTTTTATATAAGATTTAAGGTTATTTATTTCAATATATTGAATACTTTCTGCTGCTGGAGCCAAGGCCACCAGCATTTCAATTTAAGAGGAAACCACTAGATGCTTCAATAACATTTCTCCTTCACCTAGCATGAAAAGAAAACTGATAAAATCTTGAAAAACATGGCTGAAAGATATAATTAAATTGATTAGATTTTAAATATAATTTTTTAAATTATTAATTTAATTTTTTAAAATTTTAAAATTATTAAAAATTTATATATTTATTAATTTTAAAATTTATAAAATTAATTAAGATACATAAAAACAACCACTAAAAAAAACTCATAAATTGATTGCTCCGGAACCTAGTAATACATATCAATTTATTGGCCCAAAGGAGCTTTAGGTTCGGCCCATATATGAAATCTGGACATTATAGTAATATAAAGCCCAATAAACCAAATAACTAATACACGTCACGCGTGTGCAAGGGATAGAACAATCTGATACATCCTCCCTCCCTCTTCATCTTCTTATTCAACGGATAAGGCGTTCCTCCTCCCACCTAAACCAAGAAGGCAAGAACATGCCCTCTCTTTAATTTTCCTCTCCCTTCCATATTATTATAGTTTTTTCCTCTCCAAACATGGGCACTAAAATTCTCCCTCAGGTACTCCCTCTCCTCTACCTATGCACAAAAACATTTCGATATCTATACAATTTTCTTTTACTGTTTTTTTTTTTTTTGTGTCTGTTTGCAGGCACTTGCTGTTATACCCAGGAGTCCTACTCAATTGCCTGTCCCAAAGAAATTAGGTTTTTCTTCAACAATCAATCGCAGCTCTTATCTTTCCAACTCAGCTTCTTCTAGTAGATTTTCAGTCTCTAGGGTTTCTTCAACCCCATTCAGTTCGAATCTTGAAGTATTTTTTAAGGAATTTTCGAGGCAGAGTTTTGTAACGAGAGCCGAGTCGGAGTCTGGAGGTGGAGAAGTTGTGGAAGAAACTGAGAATGTTGAGGAGGAAGTAGTTGTAGAAGGGAGTGAGGAAGAGGAAGTTCAAGCGGAAGCTGAAGTTGAAGGAGCTGTGAAAGAACCCAGAAAGCCTCGAGTTAAGCTTGGAGATATAATTGGGGTACTTACTTTTATCTGTTCTGGGTTTGCTTCTATAGTAATTATGTTAAGAACAATCACCTTTTAAGTTTTTAATTTCTTGTTCATTGATTTATTTGAGTAGATTTTGAATAAGAGAGCCGTGGAGGCTTCAGAGATGGAAAGGCCGATTCCCGATATAAGGACAGGGGATATAGTGGAAATCAAATTGGTAATTGTTTTCTATTGTTGTTCTTATTCGCATTAGCTTGTTGGTGTTTGGTTTGTGGTGAAATAGAATTCTTTTGAGATGTGATTTTATGTGGTTGATTTACAGGAAGTTCCTGAAAATAGGCGTAGACTGTCCATTTACAAAGGCATTGTCATATCTAAGCAGAATGCTGGTATCCACACAACTATTAGAATTCGGAGGATTATTGCTGGTATAGGAGTTGAGATCGTATTCCCACTGTGAGTACTCCTTTTGCCTTGTCTTACAGTTTTATGTTGGCTATTCATTTGGTTTGCGTAGATGATCTTATTAGTTGAATAACTTCTGTGTAACTCCTAGATGAAACCTGTGATTACACTACTACTGTCTTTCATTTGGATGAGAGCACTGATTTTTACAATGTCTGCTGACTATTATTCAGTATTCTGTGTATAATACCATTTATTTTTGTTTGAAATGCTATATGAATCTAAGAATATTTGACTCTGTAAAAGTTGGAAGTAAATTTTTTTATCTTTTTTTCATAGTTAAGGTTTTAATGAGCTTGTTATGTGATCTGCAATAAAATAAACATTACTGAAGGATTTAGTACATATTCACTCGGGATTTCTATTCATAAAATCACAATCATTGAGCTTTTAAAACAGTAGTGGCACTAAGCTAGAAGCTCCCCTGCTTTTGTTTTGTGGCACATTCCACATCCAGCCTGTTGATGCCAAGAGATAAGCCAATGCCAAGCATGTAGATCCATGATCATGATCAAGATGCTTCTAACAAATTTCCTTGTTCTCATAACACCAAAATCTTGAAGTTTTCTTTTGAGTGTGTTTATCTAATTTTACTTCATAATTTTCCTGGTTCAATAATTAGCGGCTGTGACATGATTAATGGGTTCTTTTACTACCACAGCTACTCGCCAAACATCAAGGAGATAAAAGTAATTAAGCACAGGAAGGTTAGGAGGGCAAGATTGTATTATCTGAGGGACAAGCTTCCCAGACTCTCCACTTTTAAATGAGAAAACATGGATACTGTCATTCTCTGGTCCTTTTCTTCTCCAAATGTGTACCATGACTGCAGAGAATTGTAAGAACAGAATTTCTCTCACTTTGTGAAAATTTGTGCATGCCACATTTGATATGCTAGAATGAGACTACAATGTTTCAGTTTTTGTACCAATTATTTCAGGCTATAGCATTTTCTGATGCCCTGGCTGCAATTTTGTCCTGCCAGGGCATGGGATTACAGAATGTGCTTCGATCTATATTTTTGCATCCTTAATTGGTATGATGAATTTTATCTTCAAATATACGCGCGTCAACATTAGCTGCTGCTGTTTTTTATTTTATTTTTAAAGCGTTGGAAGAGAGTGATAATATAAGATGCTATATGCTATTAGGATTGTGGGTAAACTCTTTATGTGGGATCAACCTCCAGTGTTCCTCGTTATTGTCCACTGTTCTTTAGAGAGATTGCTGTAATCCAGCCGTTTGGATTGGTCATTTGAGGCTGACTAGGTGCTACTTTCAATTTTTATCCTTTATTTTATTTGTTTGATTATAGAAGGCCACCTTGGAGGTTGAAAGAATTCTGATCCTTCTAATTGATGGATATCTATTTTATCATCCATAAGGCCGATTGGTCTTTGGTTTTTACTACCTTATGGACGAAATATTATTGGCGATAAGAACATGTTTTTTATGGTACTGAAATATATATGATCAGTTAAATGCATTAGACATGACACCTCCGAATAGACATAACAAAAATTTATTCCACAACGGTATGTTACTTATCTGATGCATAAACAAGTATTTGTTCGGTTATTCATGTTTTCCTTTCCCAAATGAGGATCGACTAAAGAATTAAATGGTTAACTAGAGGCATCAAGCAAAAGAAGTGATGACAGAAGCTTGAGTGAGAGGTTCAGACAAAGCATTGTGGAGCTGCTGCACCTGGTGAAACTGTCCTGCTAATGGTGGTGCTTATCCTAACACCCATCTGATCATGCCTGTCCTAGCTGTATGGTTTTGAAGAATAGGTTTACTTGATCTCAAAACTTTCGTAACAAAAGGAAGGTTAGGTGTTTAATCCCCACTTGAAGAGAAAAAAAAAAGGGTACTGGTTCAAGCACTTTGTCTCAAAACTTCGTTTTTTTAAATCCTTTTTTTATAACCTTAAGTTTTTTCTTTTCATTTCAGTCCTTTTACATTTATTGTTTTTGAGAATTGATTTTATAGTTTCCTTTTGTTAGCTTATTATCAGGTTTTCATTTTTCTAGAGTAGGAAAACATCTTGACTCAACGTTGAGTTGATGTTGAAATTGCAAAAATTATTTCAGATTTTTTGTTTAACAAATAATTGGAAATAAAAGGACTAGAATTGAGCATGAGTCAAGAAAAAAAATCCTTTTTTGGTAATGAAAAGGAAACCAGATGCAAGATGCAAAAGTCGAGAAAAAGAAACGAGATAAAGAAAAGAGAAAAAAAAAAAAAAAGAGGAAAAGAGAGGAGGAATTAGTTGTCGGAGGAGATGGATACACCGGAGGTGTGCCGCATACACACACCACCTTCCAAGAAAGCTTGTACCCCAATGATTCCAATAACTAGTTAGGTGATTTTCTTAGGTTGGAGGAGCTTTTACGCGCCACCACATTGTCTCAATAACTAGTTATTTAGAACCTTTACCTATTTTCAACAGAATAAGTGAAAATTAATAATTAAAATATAACGTACCCAGGAAAAAAAAAAGAAGAAGAAGGAACTCTTGATGTATATCGAAATAACTACCATTGTCTCGTTAACATCATCGTTGTTGTCACCATTAACACTTGTAATCAATGAAATTATTCAAGCCTCGTAATCATTATTACAACTGCTATTTAACTGTTGTCACTGATACTTTTATCATTGCTAACACCAGTGTTCTACCAATATAATTATTATTAGAACAACATTCACTAAAATTGCATTTTTCATCATCATCATTAATAACATATCTCACCTTAAAGCATTTATTTTTGCATTTTTACTAATGAAAGGCGTGAATGAAATATTATAAGGTTGTAAATAAACATCTAATCCGATTCATATGTCTTGGGGAAATTTTCAACAATGTAAACGAATTGGAGATTGGTTGAACTAGTTCTTGATACATTTTCATTGTTTTTTCATGTAATATTTATCTTAGTCTAAGGCTTACAATATGATATTTAATTTGGTTTAAAAAAAAGATAATTAACAACATATATATATATATATATATATTGTGAGAAATAAGATTTTGGTTGAAAAATAAATATACTAAATTCTTTAAAAATTAAAATTAAATACAGTATTTTTTCATTTAAATATTAAAACTAGCCTTAGTTTTCGCGCTTCACCAAACTATTTTTTTTTTTATTGTTAGTCGGGTTGATCCTTTCAACCAATGACTTGAACCTTGTATTAAGTCGACTCCCGAGTCAGATTTTAAAATTATAATAATAATTATTTTTACTCATACACTGACTCGAATCAACTCATGCTGACTCTCTCAACTTAAGACCTAGATCTTGCTCCTATCGACCTCTAAGTTAGGTTTTAGAATCATGATAATAAGAATTTTTGTCGTTATATTAACTAAAATCAACCTAAATTAATCATCATAATTTATGACTCGGGCTTTCTCTCAAGCTAACCTTGAATCATGTTTTAAAAATAATAATCACCTTTTTATTTTATAATGACATGGATCAACCCCTAAGTCAAGTTTTAAAACTATAATAATAACTACTTTTATCTTTACATTAACTTAAGTTAACGCTCAACCCCACTTGTGACCCGAGACGTGCCTCGAGTTGACTCGCAAATCATGCTTAAAACTATAAGAATAATTATTTTTATTCTTATGTTAACTCAGGTCAACGACTTGTGACTCGGGCTTTGCCCTAAATCAACCATCGAGTTAGGTTTTAAAAATATGATAATAACCATTTTTATCCTTACATGTTTTAGTTGAATAATTTTAAAATTAAGAGTTTTTTATAATAATAGTTTAAAAATAAAAATAATAAATATTTTCTCTAAATACATGTTTTTTTTATTGCTTCAAAAATATACAATTTCACTCTAAAATTATTTCAGAAGCAATTTATTTTTTTATATATTTATTTTGATCTCTTCAAACAAAAATATTTTTATCTCTGTTATGTTTATTCTTCCTATTTCAGGATTGTAACCAAATGCGTTGGAGGTTCAAAGGTTCAAAGTCTTTCCAATGGTTGCTATAATTATAAATAGGGAAATAAATATGCCACGAGATTTGAAATCTCAATTTTATGAATGGGCGATGAAAAAATCACCTACCATAATACGAACTCACTATTGACAACTAAATAGCTTTTGATATTGTGATTTTGTTCCCATTTAAGATAATTTTGAGCATAAAAAAATAATTATTTTTTTGGTTTTTTTAAATAATCAAACCTATTTTTTTTATTTTTTAAATTAAAATTTGAGATCAAACCAAAAACTAGGAATAATTTTTTGATATTTTTGCTCATCTTTTATAAAAGATTTTGGATTTGATGACGTGATGGATATTAAAGAATATTTGAAAATATAGTAAAAATTATTTTTTAAAGTATTTTTATTTTAAAATATATTAAAATATTTTTGACATTACCTTATCAAAACAATTCAAAAATAATAAAAATAAAATAAAAATAAATAAATTTTAATAAAAAACAAGTTGGATCAAACCCTAAACGGCATCTTAATATTGGAATGCAAACCTGAGCTACAAAATTGAACGTGAGAATTTGAACAGAACCTGCAAAACAGACCCCTCCCAAATCTGACTCTGCAGCCTGCAATGCCTAAATTAGTCCAAAAGAATTGATACCGTTAAATTGCATAAAGAGGATAATTCAGATAGTATTTCTTTGGAAATGAGTGTTCAAGTTGATTGCAGCTACGAGGTGAAAATCATATCATTTAATGATATGTTTATGAAGTAGATAATTTATTGCAGCAACTGAGGTGAAAATCATGCCTATTATTATCTAATAAATTAAAACTGCTCAGTCTGGACTGCACAGTGCAAATTATATGTTTCCAGGATGACTCCTATGCTTGAATAGTTCCGCAGACCACGGTACACACATATAATGGAAGGCTAAAAATATAGGTCCCCAGTTAACAATTACTAACTATTTGACTGGCTGTTTGCTGCTAGTCTAATAATTTTTTTCAGTTAAAAATTATAAATATACATGTTTTTTTCAACATGTTTTTAAATATATAAAAAATCTTATTCATAAGTTAAAAAGATTATAAAATAAATTGAGAATTATTTGTACTAATAAATATAAAAAAAATATAATCTTTAGTGATAATTAATAACTAAACTAAAAAATTTAAAAATAGATATAGATCATGAAATTTGATCTCATAAAATGAATCATGACCTAGTTATATTTAATAATTTTATTTTTTGATATATTTTTTATTTAATCAAATAATTATATGTGCCAATAAAACACAAAAAACAAAGTTGTTAGCGACAATGAAAGATTCAACTGGAAAAATCAAGAAATAGATGCGGGTTAAAATATAAAGTGTATGTTTGGAAATATGATAGTGGTTGTTTTTTATAAATATTTTTTATTTAAAAATATATTAAAAAATTGTTTTTGACATCTGCACATCAAAACAATCTGAAAACATAAAAAAATTAAGATAAAAAAATTCAATATTTTATGAAACGCGGTTTGCACTGCATTTTAAAACAGGATTTTAATCTTGCAATATGGGTCATGCACTCAAATGTGTTCATTAAAATAATTTTTTATTAAATTAAACAATGATATAAAAGAAACTCTCATGAAAGCAATTAAATACCAAATATAAAAGAAACTCTCATGAAAGAAATTAAATACCAAATAAAAAAAAAGATTATGTAATGTTGCTCATATTCTAAAAATATTTTATAATTTTATGTTGCTAAATGATATTTTACCAAAGACAAAATTGGAAAAAAAAACTAAGTAAAAATTAAATCATGTTTTATTAAAAAAAAACATCATAGAAAGATGTTAAGAATCTATTAAAATTGAAGAAAAAAAACAACTAAATGATGAGATTGTAAGGGAAAAAATAAAAAAAACCAAAAAAATAGCAAAAATAAGACTCGGATATTTAGGCTTAGACTAAGTTGCCCAACATGTTTAGGCTTTAAAAAAACTCAAGCATGTGGCCTTTTAGTATAGCTCTACTCCTTATTTTTTATTTTTGAAAAATTTTAAAAATATAGATGATATGTTGTTTTTTATGGTAAATAACGCATTGCTTGGTTACTAGAAAATTAGACCATGAGTTTTTTGGCTAAAAAACTTGATTTTTAAACCTTTTGATCTAAAACACTTAGAAAACATTCTACATATCTTATTAAAAAACACATAGAAAACACCCTATACATCTTGTTAAACCCATTCATAATCTCAAATAAACCCAAAATAACCAAAATTAACTTGAAATCATGAAGTTTTCCAAACTCGTATCTACAATAACTGGCAAGGTAAAATGGTAAAGAACACTTAATATAAACTCTCCTCATCGAATGGAATTTGTTAACATCAAATCAGTATTTTTTCATGGTCGATATTATTGTCAATTTCTTTCTCTGCTATTGAAATCCAACCACTTTCTCTCTCATCTCTTAAACTAACTAAAAAAACAAGGAAAATAAAGTTTTGAATCAAAATTAAATTTTCAAAAATACAAGGGTCGAAAGTTTATAATTTTAAAAATTGAAGATCAAAGTGAATGTTTTAATCTAATTTTAAAATGAGTTGTGCTTTTCACATTCTAGTTAATATCAATATGAGTTATGCTTTTCACGTTGTAAGTTGCTGGAGTAAAAATGATAGTTATGATTAGCTAAGCCACTATTGAACTTATATATTATGATAGGATGCATAAAGAAACGAGATATTTATCAAATATATTATATGATTATAATAAAAGAGAATATGATTTGATGTATAGGTATAATTTGTCTGGTTATTAAACCAAACCTCAAGTAGGTTTCCCTATAAAAAAACTTACAATACGAGTAACATGCATAATAAATTTAAAATACCATAAATAATTATAATATTTTGAAATTAATAAATATTAGATGATGAGTTTGATATGTAAAACCTTTAATATATATATATATATGTGTGTGTGTGTGTGTGTGTGTGTGTGTGTGTGTGTGTGTATTATGTTGGCTTATTAATATGGGAGGGTCGAGATGTTGTCTATATATTTTATAATCTTAATGAAAATAACAAATGATACATTTATATCTTGTTGGTTCACTGTTTACTAACTATACTTAAAAACTTTGAAAAAATATTAACTCTTAATAATATCATGGTGGAGGATAAAGTCACTCAATTAAGAGATAGTTATACCCATTTAGTAGATGATGTAGATATAAATAATTAGACTTGTTTATATGCTATCAATGTATCCTGTTATGTTGTTTTATTAATTATGAATTTTCAATTAATTTTAGTGTTTTTAATATTTATCTTGTATTACTCAGGGTTTTTAAAAACATATTAAAAACACTAAAATTAATTGTAAATTTATAATTAATAAAATAACATAATATAAAATTCATAATCTATATATATATATATATATTAGAGTACTGGAATATTTGGAGTAGAAATCAAAATTTTAAAGTTCATAATATATATAAAGATAATATGATTGTTTATTGAGTTTTGTTAAGTTTTTGGTTTTATAGGTCTCATGAACCAAATAATTGTAAGATTAACAAATCAAATAAAAAATAGTAGTTATTCTGCAATTTATCCTAAATTCAAACGGAATTTTAGCTATAAAATGCTTGGTAGAAAATTAATTATAAAAAATGAAAACTAGATAAAAATTGTAGTTATTATGCATTTCACTGAAAACCCCTTGTTTTTTTTTTTTTTATCAAAAACTACTCTAAAACCACACAAATTATAAAAAAAGAAACATTGCAAAAAATATGGTTTTTATGCCATGTTTAATTTTATAAGAAAAAAACCTAATCTAAACAGTGTGGTGTTAATAATATCTAATTTCACATGAAGAACTAATTTAATAATTTAGCCTTAAAATTTTGAGGTTAGTATTTGATGTTTGATGTTCAGATTAGTTAATGTTAGATTTTTTTTTTGTTAGGAGATCGAATTACATGCTTAGATTAAGATTAGTTTTTGTAGTTAAAGATACGAGGTTAGTGATCAATTAGGTTAGGGTTTGGTATTTAAATTATTGTTTATGCTTCATGTTTAAATTAAACTTAGTATTTAATGCTTATATTAATATTAGTTTTTAATGTTTAAATAACTTGCAATTATAGATAATATTATGGGTGGTGTTATGATTTGGGTTTAACATTTGGATTATAGTTAATGGGTGTTTAGATTTTTAGTTCGAATTAAGTTATTATTTATTATTTATAGACTAGCGATCATTAAGATTTAGGTCTTAGTCAAGGTTAGAGATTAGATAGAGTAAATAACTTGAATATTGTCTAGAGTATATTATTTAAAGGTACCTTATAGTTAGATAGATATTGTAGTTTAAAAATACATGTGTCAAATGTCACATTTCATAATCAAAATATTTATTAAATATTATATTTTTCAACCATTATTTTTTTATATATCATGTTTTGCAACCATGACGGGTAAACAATGATGTTCCGGGCACTTATGTTATACTAAATTTAAAAGTTTTTAATGTTAATAAACAAAATTAGCCTATTAAAATGACTCGCTACCTGAAAATAAAATAAAATAAATTGTTTAATTCGGATTTGCACCACAAAAGCAATAAATAAGTAAATAATTAAAAAGTTTTTAGAAGGGGTACGTCATAGCCCATAGGTACTCGATTCCAGTGTGGGGAACGGGGATATCCCAAAAAAAAAAAACTTTTGCACAGAACCTCCCTCGATTATTTAGTAGATACACGTGTCAGTTCCATCACACCCTCTCTCTCTCTCTCTCTCTCTCTCACTGATATTGAAGAAGAAAGAAAGCTCTGCCATTCTGATTCCAGGCTACACGAAAACCCCAAGCGACCATCCCTCTCTGTGTAATTCTCTCTCCTTTTTAACAGAGAGATTCTTTGCTTCTCTCTGTAAACGGAGCGCATAAGGAAGAACGGGCCACCTGAACCGATAAAAAAAGCCGAAATTGGCGCCTGAAAGTTCGATCCATTCATTCACTCGCTGCTTTTAACTAATCCTTCTCACTCGTTTAACCACGCACATGTTAGTTTTCTTTACTATTAATGTCACTCCCTTTCTCGCTCTCTTTAATCTATCACAACTTTTTTACATCAATTTCTTCGATTGATTTGGGCATTTCAATTTTTTTTAAAGGTTATTTTTGTGTTCATTTGATTGTTTTGATTTGGATTTTTTTAGTGGAAGATTTGGTGATATTGGTTGGGAGGGGGGATATGACAACCGGTGGTGATAAGCCGTTTATCTCTGTACATCCAGATGACCTCAAGTTCATTTGTAAGCTTCTCTCCCTATATAAAATCTGCATGACACATATTTATTTTCTGTTTTTATTTTTCTTCCGTTAATTTAACTTTCTTCGTTGCATCTTTCTTTCTTCCTTTTGTAAATAACGATTTTAATTTATTGATTTATGTGCTATATTTGCTATTTAATTTCTTGCATCGGGTTCTCATTTATGGCAAGGAGATTAAAATTCGTCACGCTTAATTCTACTAATCCATGCATTAATTGGGAGAATTGGAGCAGATTTAAGGTTGCGTGCTTTGCATAGTATCTCAACTAGACAGTGAATCGTTATTTAATTTACTTTGATAATCCATTAGGCTGCTCTTGATCTGGAACTAATTGGGATTGTCTATTTAATAATGTCCTTGTTCTTAAATGGAATACGAGTTTTCTGGCAGTCCAAGGTGTTCCCTAACCCTTCCATGAAAGTTATGAAGACATTCAAAAGGCTTTTTTTATTTTTTTGTGAAATTCCACTGGGATTTTTCTACAACTACTGCAGCTTATAGAGGTTCAGGGCAGTTTTATAGCCTCTTGTAAAATTTTCCATGGCAGGGAGAACTGAAGTAGGTCCCCTGCAACCAAGTGTGGTAATTTTCAAGTATTGGTGATATTTTCATTGACTTGCTTCAGATATGTAATAAACTAGACAAGTGATGTAAATGGCACTATAACCCTACCCGGCTACCCCAACTTATATTCTAGCTCTCTCTGAGTATGGTGGGCAGTAAAAACTCCCTTTTGCAAATCACAGTTTCTGGTTTTAGGTACATATCAATCACATTTATTCTTTATAAATCCATTTATAAAGAAAAGCAACAAGCTTTTGTTTTAACATCTCTGTGTCAAGTGGCTGCTCCCAGGTCTCAAACCTGCGTGCAAAATTAAGATTTCTAGCCTCATATTTGACTACTGTACCAGGTGGCATTCTCAACTTCTAACATGCTATCAAATGTTTTTTAAGTCATCTGCATCAATGAGATAGATGCCTATTATTCAAGTGAATTCTCTCACAACACAGTAAAGATGATTAGTTGTTCAAAGAGGTAGGATGGGGATTTAAAGAAGATCAAATTGATGGAGCGCAATTTAATTAAAAACCAAGCTGGATCTGATCCACTTTTCTTGATACTTGAAAACTTTGCAGGCATAGAAACTTCAGCTATTAGAGCCCAAATTGATTGGCTGAAGTAAGGAGATGTGCTTGGTAAAAAATAAAAGAATATTAAAAGATAGAAATTAAATTATTTTGCAAACAGATCCATGGCAAATATCTGCTGGCATCAAGTATGGATAATTGATGCAAATCTTAATGCTAATCTTGAATATTATAAGTTGTATTCTTGAAAATGTTGATACCTTCTAAAAGTGTTGATATTGATGTGTGTTATAAAACTTTCAGATTTGATTTTGTCAATAGAGTTCATTTGGACTTATGATTATGTTATATATGTAATCAGTTGAGCTGGAAAAGCAAAGCTTTTGCGATCTTAAAGTTGCGAACAACACAGAGCACCATGTTGCTTTTAAGGTGCTCTCTCAACTATTGTATTAAAACCGTATTGATGTGCATTGTTGGCCTTTGATGGATTCATTTTTGTCATCACTTTTTTCCAGGTTAAAACCACTTCACCTAAGAAGTACTTTGTGAGGCCCAACACTGGTGTCATACAGCCTTGGGACTCTTTTGTCATTAAAGGTGCCACTTGTTACCCAGTCACTATCTTTTTGTAGGACTTTCTTGACCTTTTAAACTATGAATTATTTATTCAAATGTGAATTTATGTTTGATGTCCACTAAAGGTTACAATTCTCTCACATCAGAGCTGTGGGTAGAGTGGTAACCAGCCATTTGTGAGATGTTTATTAGGTGATCATTTAATAGCTTTGGATTGTTTTTTCCTTGATAACCTATTAAAATGAAAGAAGAACCAAGCATCATAATTTTATCCTTGACCAGAATATATGGAATTTGTTTGTGCCATGTGCCAGCCAACACATAATTGTTGTAAAGTTCTTAATTGGTTAGAATATATTTGATGTTTACAAGCTACTGGATTTTCAGTTACTCTTCAGGCTCAGCGAGAATATCCTCCAGGTATGCAATGCAAGGATAAGTTTCTCTTACAGAGTACCATTGTGCATCCACATGCTAATGTTGATGAGCTCCCACCAGATACTGTAAGGGTGTTAACTTCAAGAAGAAAAGTTATTCATGTTTCATTAGCTTGACTTTGCAAAATGATATTATATTTGAACAATGATTGATTTTATTGCCAGTTTAATAAGGATAGTGATGGCAAGGTGATACAGGAGATGAAGCTTAGAGTTGTATACATGCCCACCTCTTCAACTCAAGGAAACTTGGAAGATGAAGTGTTGTTGAAGGGCTCCAAAACAAGTCCTGATGCTACCTCTGTGAGTTTTATTGTATTTGGGGTGTGCTAATTTTAGCTAACAGCATGGACTTCTGTGTACTTGAAGACAATTAGTATTCTCTGGAAATCAGTTTATTGACTTCATTCAAAATAGTTGGTACAGGGTTCTTAATTAAAGGAGAATACAAGGCATGAAATCAGGAACCAAAACAAATTATCTATCCTAATTAGGATGACACCTAATTTATAGGAGTTGATTAATACCAAATATATTTTCTAATTTATAGACAACCTAATATAGAATCTTTTATTTTACAACACTCCTCAAGAGCTTAAAGATATCTTCCATTGCCAGCTTGTCGATCAAGTAGTTAAATTGTTTCTTGTAAAGTCCCTTTGTAAGTACATCAGCAACTTGCTCAATGGTTGATATATATGGCATGCAGATCATTCTTCGATTAAGTGTTTATCAACTTGCACGTTCTTTGTTTTATCATATGGAACTGGATTATGAGCAATTGAGATAGTTGCCTTATTGTCACGGTACACCTTCATGGGCAAGGAGTTAAGAATCTTCAAGTCTTCTAAAAGCATTTTAATCTACACAACTTCAGAAATCCCATTTGCAATTCTCTATACTTGACTTTTGAGCTACTCCTTGCTACAACATGTTTTTTGCTTCGCTAAGTAACTAAATTCCCTCCAACATAGGTACAATAACCAAAAGTTGATCTTCTATCAGTTATACTTTCAACCCAATTTGCATCGGTGTAGACTTCAACATGTAAATGCCCATGTTTCTTAAACAACAGACCTCTTCCATGAGTTCCTTTCAAGTACCTCAATTTTTTTACTTTATTCAAAATAGTCTGTAGAAGACAAGGTTCCTATTTAAATGAGAATACAAGGTATGAAATCTAGAACCAAATCAAATCATGTATCCTAATTAGGAGTGGAGTTGATTAATATCAAATCTGTTTCTTAATCTATAGACAACCTAATATAGAATCTTATATTTTACAATAACACAATCAAATCATATATCCTAATTAGGAGTGGAGTTGATTGATATCAAATCTATTTCTTAATCATTAGACAACTTAATATAGAATCTTATATTTTACAATAGCATTCATAACTCTGGAGTTTGACTGACTTCATTCAAGCTGGTGTTGCATATTAACAGAATCATTACAAAGGCAACTAAAGGCTCCTTAAAGAAAGTACTAGATGGATAAAAAATTCCATATTGACCTCCGTCACAAGGGTTTAATAGTGAAGTGTACTGATGAGAAAAATTCTTGATCCTAAACTGATAGTTGAACAAGCTTAGACACAATGCTCCTGAGCAAAAAATGAGAATGGTTATGGATGCTCCAAGAGTTGTTTGAAAATGATGACAGAATAAAACTTGACAGAACATGTTAACCACCTATTATTTGCATTTAAATAATTATCATGACAAAAACAAAAATGTGATGATTTTGCAGTTGTGAGTGTCATAGTGAGCATGTTTCCCCTCTTTTCTCGAGAAAGAAGTGGGCTATTTCTTTACAGAATTGTGCTCAATTTCATGTAAGGGAGTTCTGCCAAGACCTCTTTGTTAGTTGGGGGCATAATCTGCATGAAATCAGATTTTTTGAAGAACATATCGAGAGAGAATTGGATTTGGATTTGGTTAGATAATGTATGGTTGGTAAACAAGGATCGATTTTATAGCAAGGTGTGGAATATATTGTCAATTATATGATTCCACAAGATAGAGGAAGTTAACTGTATAAAGATGCTGCAGTTTTGATTGGTCTGCTTCTAGTATGTGACTGCTGTTATTGCTTTGCACTTGAATATGCTAGAATTGGGCTTCTTCTTGGATTCTCCAAGATTGTGAATAACGGTAATGGATTGTCAGTTTTAACTACTCAAAGGAAACACATCTATATATGCACATTGTGTCATTCAACATGCACTATGCAACTTGATCTTGTTTACAACTGTCACAATCTTGTAAATTTGCTCTGTACCATGCCTTTTTGCAGGAAAAGCATATAAGCATATCCTTGAATTAATTTCTAGACAGGTTTTTTGTTATACACGTGCATGCACCCATATACACACATGCACATAAGTTTTTCAAGTACACTGTTTTATGTTTGAATCAGGCTGTACAGCTCCTGGAGGATGAAAGGGATGCAGCTGTTCGACAAACCCAGCTACTGCAGCAGGAACTGGTTAGTCACTTGGTGCTTCAGCCTGGTTATTTGATTATTATTTGTTTTCTTTTTCTGTTGAATTGAGAATATGGAGTCAGTTTTCCTCCTACCATTTTGGCATTTAAATGTTTGTTCTCGAGAAATACAATTATGAGACTTTATCACTTCACAAGTACTTGGCATCTCAGATATTGCTCACCTAAATATTTCTTTAGTTGGTATGCTAATATTGTTGGTAAATTGCTGTTTTTTGCGCAAACAGCTGATTTCCTCGTAACCATTCAGAAATTACTTATGATCCCCCCCCACCCTCCAGTCTCAAATAACTACTATGGAAAGTCTAGTTGAAACTTGCTTAGTTCATATGGATTCCACCATCCCTAAGGGTTAAAAATGCTGGTAAAGAAACAATGGGGGGAAAGAACAGGAACAAGATGAAAAGCAACAAATAGAAAACATGAGGCGTGTTACAAACGCTGTCCTTAAAGATATTTCCTCTACAAAAACCTATCCTCCAGGTTTCAACAGGTTCCTCCTCTAGAATTGAGGGAAGTAGAAACAGCAAGGCAAAGCAAAAGAAAAAAGTTGGGCAACCTAAAATGAATTATATATTCCTCTTTAAAAAGTGCAGGTGTTTATATATAGGCCTAGAGTTTGTAACATCCAAGAAGAAATTAAATAGAGAATTAAAGAGTGCAACCAGCCTTTAAAACATGGTTGTTAGAGAAAATAAAATAGCCACAAGAGGAAATAAATAGCTGTTGGAAAAAAATATAGTTATGAAAATAAATTGTAAGAGCTTCAAAAACTGTGGTTTCAGTTTAAAGGCTAAAAAATAAATTATTATTGGAGACAAGAGGCTTAGAAAGTATCTACGTCGCCTCACATGTTGGGAGGGAAACGGAGGTTTTCCTCTTGCTTAGCCCAACTTTATACGCACAAGCCTATCACCTTTCTAGTTGGTTAGCAGCTCATATCATAGTTCACTATATAAATACTAGAAAAAAAGTCTTGTTTTTTTAATGTGGGAATAGAAGCGGTTTAAAAACTTCAACTTAAAAAGATAGAAGATGTTGTCTTTGCAATGTGGGATAGAGATCTTTTGAAATAACTTCTTAAATAATATTAAATTAGATTATTTACAACAAAAAATCCTTCAATGGACATTTGCAGGCAATGCTTGATCAAATGTGATTGTGCAATTGAAATGAAGCAGAGCAGGAACTTTTTAATTAGATGACTTGTAGGCATGGAATTTGTTTATCAGATGGCTGCTATGAGATCTTGAAAATGTAAAAAAGCTCATGGGATATGCGAACAGTAAAAAACACTGGGAATATTTTAGATGTTTTCTGTTTGAGAGCAAATGTATTCGAATGAATTATATCTAATGCTGAGAAACAGCGTTATGATACCAAATTTCCCATGTGTTAGAACCCCAACACCCCACCACACGTACGAAGAGGTTTTTGTGTACTAGCTAATATGTGTCTACTGCCATTTGTAGCATAACACAGGAAACCTTTACAACAATTTATCCAAGCTTTTTCTTTCCTACAGGATTTGCTGAGGAGACGAAGATATCGAAAGACTGACCCAGGCTTCTCCCTCATGCTTGCGTTCGTGGTTGGACTTGTTGGTATTATGATCGGCTTCCTCTTGAACCTTTCATTGTCATCACCGTCTGCAGAATGACCTGACACTGCCAAGGACCTTAGGAGAGAATTTTTTCTGTCTATTTTACTATATAATCTCGAGGATTCTGTTGGATGGAAAGGACATCGATATATTTCCTCCACACACACACATATATTTGTTGTTGCGTCAGCTGGCCAAGTATATTTTCGTTTCATTGATATGTCACTGTTAGTGTGACTTGATAAATATTCTGTTGTAGTTTATGAAATCTTTCTTCGCTTGGTTTTGAAATTTGCATTTCAAATTTACGCTTAATCTTTCTCGAACGCTTTAGCTGGATGTTGTAGCTAGGTGTTGAACAAAAATGGCTTGAGAAAAAACCGCAGATAATTTCTCGCATTTGAGAGAATTTTTTTATTTATTTAATCGTTAAAATATCGAAGTTTATTTAAGAAATAAACTAATTAATTCTATTAGTATGATATTTCAATAAATAATTAGAGTTCATATAGAATTAATCTAAAATTACTATTAATAGGGGAAAAAATTAACTTAAAAAAAAGAGAGTAAAAGCCTAGAAAGTTCTTGCATTGGTTTTCTTGGATTGCAAAGCAATTTGTCTTCTGAGTTGAAATTATTCTTGCCCGCTCTTTCTGATTCATGTATTCTGTTCCATATATATATATATATATATATATATCACCAATAAAATATTCTTGTTTGAGCCTGTAATTTCACCGGAAAAAATCATTAATGGATTTACTAATAGAAACTTATCATTACTGCTTAGTACATTTGTTAGGGATTTCAAGTTCATTGATAAGTCCTCCAATGATTTATTTTCTGACAGAAAAACTGATAGGATGTTAGTGCCTAAAAACAATTGGTGTCGGCTATTGGCTATTATTTTGTTGGTCAATCCATTTATAAAATATTATTGATGGAGCACGATAGACTAACCATATATAATAGATATGTATCATTAATAAATTAACTGATAAAATTATTGACATATTATGTTAGTGAATTCACCAATCTATATTAGAATATTTCATAATTCTTCAAGAAAAATAGATTTATTTTATTAATAGAATTACCAATATAATTTTTATGATTGTTTGTGATTATATCGGTATTTAAGTAATTGTTTTTTTAATGCATGTTTATTTGGATCAATTATTTTGACATTAAACAATTAAATTAAATTTATTAACTCATTTTAAATTATTAATTTTATTGTAAAATCAAATACAAATCTCTGTATATATTAGAAAGAAGTTAGAGCTACATGTAAAGGTTATGGTGGAGAGGGATGAAAATATCATAGAGGCCTATAAGAAGGAGGAAATTGAGTCAACATATATGTCATCATATGCTCTCATTGCTTCCTACTTCATTTTTCATATTGCATTTTCAATTCAACCTTTGGATTGGTCATAACAGCAATTATTTTCATTGAACCAACTCCTGAACGATTGTTAATGGTTGACTTAGGTTGGATTGTAGAGTTCCTACATTCAATATATTACGACTCGCCCTCATGTCTTGGACTATAGTTATAGAGATATTATAAGCTTAATTTCTATTTGGTCTATTGATAGTCATAGAGATACTATGAATTTAATTTCTATTTGGTCTACTGATTGCTTTAACCTATAACAATAACTCGGGTAGTATTTCAAATAGGTTGAAGGATCTTCTCCATATTTGATATGTACATCAGCATTATATGTTTCTTACATAAAAACAAGTCAAAGATGTTGACAAAAAAAAATTTATTTAAAAAAATATTCAAAATATTTTAAAGTTTACTTACAATTAAATAAACGTTTAAGTTTTATTGTCCATAAACAATTGCACCATTTTCTGCTTATCTTTTTTTTAAACATGTGTTTTCATATATAACTTCGTTAGAGTGAGATCACACCCAATTTATGTAGCTTATAAAATAAATCATTAATTTGCAGAGGTAACAAATATTCACTAACATTTAAAGAAAAATACTTAAAATAAAAAAGACACTTATAAGACATTTTGCATGTTTAATAAAAGGAAATGATTTACGGGTATACTTGCTGATGAATCCATGTGTCTCGTTGTTTTTATTTAAGGACCTATTTTGTGTCAGCTTCTAAAAATATCTAACATCAATAACTCTAGATATCTCTCATAATTACTCTAAATGATATGAGGAGATCTAAATTTTTTTTATACCTCAAAGTCATTTGACTCGGCATAACTCTTTGTGTAGATATGCACGTCATACTAAAAATCACGCAATCTAGTTTAGGAATTTGTTAAATGCAAAAAAGATTACAGATTTACAAATATATACTTCGTAAATTAAAACTTACCTAGTTGTGTTGTGATTTTTCTAGAAATTTCTTGCCACCTTAAAGTTTGTCTCATCTTACAAAAAAAAAAAAAATTCTTGTAATCATTTTCTTAAAATAATTAGTTTATAAATTTAAAAACATTTATATAAACTAAAAGTGTGTATATGTCAAACTTTCCCTACCGACCCTTAACAACGGGCATCCATTCAAGATGCTCTTTAAGTTGGCTTTATTGAAACAAATGTGTTTCCATCAATGTTTTTATTATTGATGTTATCGTGCATATAACTTCTATATTTATGAGCCTAAAATCAATTATTGAATAAAAAATATATAAACACTTAATCAATTTGTTAATGTTATTTTCAAGAAAATAGATTTTATTACATGTTTAAATCCAATTTACACCCCATTATTAATTTGTCAAAATAAGAATTTTTGGCAGATGGTACGCCAAATCTACAACCCATATTTGATAAACATGTGTCGGTAATGTGTGTAGCAATTATCTCTTCATAATCGGCATATAAATGCACCACAATCTCATGAACATTATTGATTGAAGAAGTAGAGCTGTTTTATCTTGACGTTGAGTTTTTTCTTGGTATTTTAATTACTAACTAGAACATAATACAAAAGTAAATAAATAAAGTAAGCATATTCAATTAAATTCAAAATCTATGGTTTATGGTTTCTGTATTGGTGCATCAATCTATTTTTAACAATATTTTAGTAGCACTTTCCTTAAATAAGACCTTACCTCATTATTTTTCAAAACTACAAAAAAGCACATTCTCAAACCATCTATTATACATAATATATACTAGACATCAATATTCAATATCATTTATCCAATTTTTTACATGTACATCATTATACTAAGCATATATTTGTATAGATTTATAATTCACATGGCTTAATTTGTCATACCATATATCACAAGACTCAAACATGCAAGAAGAAAAGGTATTATTATTATTACTCTTCTCATCTATGATTAAAATGGTCACTACACTCATTTCAAAGATAACATTACTAAGACACCCCTTTCCTATCAACATTTTATTTTTAGAAGGTATAAATTTGTCACTCTCAAATATCAATTTAAAACTATTTTTTTCAACAATAAACCAAATATTAAGTCCATCTTAATATTAGGAATACGAAGTGTACTATCAAGTGTTAGAAGCTTTTTGAAAGTCATCTTCAGTATGACATTTCCAACACCTAGTATCTTGTAGATTAATAAATTCTCCATATACAAGTTTTCACCAACCACTTTTTTACAAGTGGATACAATTTTATTTTCAATGCATACATGTTTAGTTGCATCAGTGACAACACATCATTGCTCATAATTTTTTATCAAGTTGACTTAGAAAACAACAATGATAATGTTCATTTTCAAAACTTAATCAATGAGGTGATCAACCTTATTGATATTGGTTTTAACAATCATTCTCTTTCTTGGATTACTTTATTAAGCCCTATTTATATAACTTTTAGCCAGGTGTTCTATCTTGTTAAAGAAAAATATTTGCCATTAAACTTTTGGCAATACTTATCCTCTTCATATATGATTTTTCCTTTGGGATTATATTATAAGAGATAACTCTTTTTTCAAACAACTTATTGTCCTCTTTTACCTTTAGCTTCAAAATAAGGTCTTTAACTTCTATTTTCTTGCTTTTATGCTTAAAAGCAATTCTTGAATTCTTTCCAAGATAATCATAATTTTTCAATAATTATAACCACCTGGAAGGATTCATTTATAACCATACTTTTACCATAACTATTATATAAGGTAAGTTCAAACTCATAAAAAAATGAATTGAGCTTAGCAGTCATGCTAGATCCCAATGTTTTGGGTCCGATAGCCATTTCAAACCCAAACAAATTGGATCTGATATGTTGTTAGACTCAATTTATTTTGACACGAGAGGTTACAAAGAATAACAATAGAAATATTAATAACAATAATAATAACAACAACACTAACTAACAACAATACAATGATAAAAATAAAAATAAAAATAATAAGAATAATTATAATCATAACAATAACAATAATAATAACAATCATGCCAAATCCAAGTACCTTGAGCCTGAGAAACCATGTCATTCCGATGATATTTGGGTTTGACAACCATGCATGATCCAAGTTTACTTGAGTCTAACAATATCAAGACCCATGTTACTTAGGTCTAGCAAACATGTCTTATTCAAGTTTATTTGAATAATAATAATAATATAATAGTAATAGTTAGTTAATAGTAAATGTGGTTGTAATAATGATGATGATAATATAGTAATAGTTAATAGTAATTGTGGTTGTGATGATGATGATAATAATAATAAGAATAAGAATAAAAAGTATAAGCAGAATAAGAATAATAACACTAAAAATAATAAAAACAATAATAATTATACTCATAATAATAACAATAAATAACAATAATGTAAAACATAATTGTCAGACCTAAACACTTTGAGTTTGATAATTTATGTCAGACTCAAGCAAACAACAAACAAAAAAATAACAATTGTTCATTTTAGTTGTTAAAAGAGATAAAAGAAAAAAAAAACACAAATAATTAATCATCAGCAACAATCCAACCATGATATATCTACATGCGTTGCTCCATGTTGAAGAGAACATGGATGCACATCTAGTTATATGATGGATTACTCAATTTGGCCTCTGAAAAGCGTCTCACACTCTTTTTTAATGGCGCAAGCATCGCCCACTCTTTTGGGCTTTTGAAATACATGCCAACAACTTTTTAATTAAAAATAAAAAATATAATGTGAAAAATACTAAAACGCTCTCATGGTCCTTTTAATTATATAAAATATCTCTAAAAACAAAGTTTCTTTATTGTTTTTTCTGAGGCTAAAAGTGTTATTTACTTGTATTTGAAAATTTAAAAAACTTGATTATCCCTGTGGAAGAAAGCCAAAGAAACGTCCGCTCGTGAAAAAATAAAAAATTAAAAGTAAAATTACTATTACAATTTATAGTAAAATGTCTCTTAATTTACAATGATTTCCCCTAGCTTTATTTACTTGTACTTGGAAATTAGAAAAACTTGATTACCTTTTTGAAAGAAAGCCAAAGAAATGTTTAGTCACTCACGAAAAGATGAGAAAATAAAAATAAAACTATTATTACAATTCATAATAAAATATTTCTTGATCTACAATGATTTCTTTATACCATTTAGGTTTTTTTTTTAATGATTTGAAGATTTTAAAAAATATACTAACATGTTTTATTATTTATATCAACAGTAAAATATTATACAGTAAAAATATTTGAAAATAGGAATTAGAAAAGGATAATTTCCCTTTTATATTTAATGCAATAATGATACTGAGTTAAAAGTTTGGTTTGAGCAGGAGGCACTATAAAGTTTACTTATCTGTTTTCTTTGTTGAAAAATGTTTATGTAAAATTTTAATTTTTTATTTTAAATTAATTTTTTTATATTGATTTGATATGTTTATATTAAAAAAATTAATAAATATATTTCTAAATATAAAATATTTTAAAAAATAATCATTATCATAATATCAAATATAATGTTAATTATTTTAAAATAATTTTGTTATTTTTTGTCGATTATTAAAGAAGTATTTAAGAGTGAAGTAGGGATTGTTTTTAAAATATTTTTTATTTAAAAATATATTAAAATAATATTTTTTATTTTTAAAAAATATTTTTAGTATTATCATATCAAAATAATTTAAAAATATAAAAAAATTAAATATTAGCCCTGTCGCTTGCGACACAATACCTAGTATAGCCTAAATAATTGGACCGGGGTTAATTTGATAGTGATGTGAAATATAATTGAAATTGTATTTTGTTCATATTATTATTTTAAAAATATCTAATTAATTAATACATCTTATTTTGATTTGATTTTCTTGCTCTTCACTTGAAAGCCCAACCCTTCCCTCGTGTCTCGCTTACACTCGATCTGTCCGCCATTCGATCCATCTGGTTTACAAAACCAAACAGATTCTTCTTGCTTTGCTCATATTTTTTTCGGATCTTCTTCTTCTTCCGAACACGAGTAGTACTTTGTTTTGTTTGACGGGAAGATGAGCACGGGAGAGCTCCTCGGCATCGAACCTCTTGAGCTCAAATTTCCTTGTAAGTCACCGACGCATGAAGTCCTTCACTCCTTTATCTTTCTTTATATCTGCTTTTGCTTTGTAAATTTATGTCTTCTTTTTTTGGGATTAGTTGAATTGAAGAAGCAGATCTCTTGTTCTCTTCAACTGTCTAATAAAACTGATAATTATGTCGCTTTCAAGGTAAATTAATATTTCCTCTCCATTTCTTTCTCTCTGTTTTGTTTTTTTATTCAATTGGATCAAAAGGGTTCTTGTCAGGGGATGAATTATTAAATTTTGTGCGATATGATAGCCTCACAATAACAAAAACAGTATGTAACTCGAATCTGGAATTTTACAATGTATATTGTTGTGGGATATTCAAAATCTCTGATTATATTTGATGCTTAGGTCAAAACAACAAATCCCAAGAAGTACTGTGTCCGACCAAATTCTGGGATTGTGTTGCCTCGCTCCACATGTGATGTTATAGGTGCCCATTTCGTTCATTTTGTTATCATGGTTTTTAAAATCGAATTTGTGGTTTAATTTTTAGTGCTGCGTTGTAATTTTTGGCATTGATTTGATTTAGTTACGATGCAAGCACAAAAGGAAGCTCCTCTTGACATGCAATGCAAGGACAAGTTTTTGCTTCAAAGTGTTAAAGCTAATGATGGTGTCGCTGCAAAGGATATTAATGCAGAAATGGTAAGAAACTTGCATGTAATTTGTTTATTTTGCAAGTGGGGTTAGTTATGGACTGTAGGGGTTATGGTGGCGTGTCTGGTAATTTTGGCTGTGCAGTTCAGTAAGGAGGCAGGGCATGTTGTCGAGGAGTGCAAATTGAGAGTGCTTTATGTTTCTCCCCCTCGACCACCTTCTCCTGTTCTAGAAGGGTCCGAGGAAGGGTCACCCCCCAGGGGTTCTGTGTCGGACAATGGGAACGTTAATGGCACCGATTTATCTACTGTGAGTTCATGAAGCAATCTTTTATTGATGTTGTCATTTTAACTTCCCATTAGCCTAAAGATATTGATGGCTTGCTTTATGTTGGTGAATTTAGGGAACAAGGGCATTTGTTGAGCATCTTGATCCTCAAGACAAAACTTCGGAGGTAAAACTCTGCTGCATTTGTTTACCTGTTCATGATTACATGCTTTGTTAGATAGGAGCTTCTATATAGAACCCTCCACTCAGCTTCTGTTTAACTTATGGTTTCTAAAGAAGTTAATCATCCATGTGATTTTAATGATGCCGCTGCCAACTCGCTGACTGCTAATACATTATACATCTATGCTGGAATGATTATGGAGTTCTATCTCATAACTCACAAGCAAGCTTCTAAGTTCTAATGACATATAGCTTGGTGTTTCAATTATATGGGTGTTGATGTCTAGCTTTGTAATTTTAATTGAGCTTATTGAGACAGGGAAAAGAATTGGGTGTAACTTCAGTCTGGTCAGGATTGCAGCTGTGCAACTGTCTATTCTTTCTTTATTTATGACTGCGGAATATCCATCAAACTGGTATTTTCTATCTTCTGATAGGAAAACTTGTCAATTTTCTGGTAGAATCTTTATCTAGCGTTAACTCTACTTTAATTTTGTCTCATTGTAATCCTTCTCTGGAGTCATATTTGCTCTCTATTTCTTTCAGCAAATCATCCTAGATGGATATAATGAACTCCTTTTCATTTTCTTCTTTAAAATTAGATTCTGATTCTATCAATTGCAATTTGAGGTTTATTGTTGATACTTATCAAGTGATTCATTTGTGAGGAAGCATAAAAATAATAATATATTAGATTCTGATTCTATCAGTTGTAGTTGTCTCTCTCTCTCTCTCTCTCAACACGAACACACACTCACATTTACTTGTATGTTGTAATGTGCTTTAACTTGGCTTTGAGTACTTGTATTTGCTACTGTGCTACAGTGGACTTGCTATTGGCCATTTTTTTTATATGAATTGGGTGTCTTGATATCAAGGTTGTGATAAATTACCACCTACAATAAACACTTGGTCTAATTGCAGGCAGTAGCTCTCATTTCAAAGCTGACTGATGAAAGGAATAATGCAATTCAACAAAATAACAAGCTTCGTCGAGAATTGGTGAGTCATTAACAAGTTTATCATTTGACCATTCTCTTTTAAGTTCAAATTTTATGGAGATTCAATGTGTTGTGGGATAGTTTTGTCTACTTGCCCCTCATTTTCTATATTCGTGTAGAACATTTGGTTTTTCATGGAAAGTCATAGAAATGGAAAAAACAAGACTATGCAATCTGTCTCTTCTGTCTTTCATTGTTATGAAATTTAACCAGAGGTGCTTAATCTCTGAAATCTGAACATTAGTAAGTCTCTAAAATTATATGCATTACAAGGCATATAGACTTGTAGGTTCTCCAAGTCTGTAATGTGCCTGTTACATTTCCAGCAAAAACCTAAATCAGTATTCAGTAGCTTAACTTTTTTTTGGTATTTTTTTAACAATCAAGCAGTATCTCCAATGCATTTGTTTTCCTTTGTGCTTAATTATTTGACTTCCTGCTATTTTTAGTGAAATCAACTGATACGACCAGATGTGGGATGAAAATGATACTTTTAGAACTTGTTTGGTTGTACTCATGAGCTGCATCTGGTCCATCATATTTTGTTTGTAAACTTGGTACAAAATTCAGGCTGACTCTACTGAATCTTTTGCTATGTATTCTCTTTTCTTTGTCCATCCCCAATTAAAATGCTTACCATCCCTGTAATGACTGCTTTGTTACACGATTTTATGATGTGAGGTTAATCTTTCATAATATGGGTGCCTTTTCATCCAAATATTAAGAGAAATTGAAAAGGAAAGTTAAAACAGGATGTGATGGTGCCTTTTGGGCTTCATGGCTCTATCAGAATGTGTTCAAGTTTGAAACAGCAAGTTGATGCCTGTTATCATGTGATTAATATAACTATCATCACAAAACCGATTTAAGTAGAAGCACAGTTATGCATCTGGATACTTGGATGGGATATGTTTGGTTTGTCATCAGGCTTGATTTCTGTAACTTCTGCGGTACTTCTATCCATTATACTTTCCACTATAATCTCTGCTATCTCACCTTTCTCGTATATTTTAGCTTTTTGTTGATTACCCTGTTGTCAGCTTACATCGTGAGTTTATTAGCTGCAAGTTTGTATGACCTGTTGCTTTAGGACTGCTTTTTCCTTGGCTCTTTAGATCTCTTTAGGTCAAAAAGTTCATATTGTAAGAATGAGAATTTTGAAGCTTCTTATTGTGATAGTTGATGTGCTCTGATATGCCTTTCGTTGATTCCTAGCATCTTCAGACATTCGTAATTGCTTAATGACACATTACCATGCAGGAGCTCCTGAGATGCCAAGGCAACAAAAATCGCTCTGGTGCATCATTGATGTTTGTCATCATTGTTGGCTTGCTTGGCATATTGTTGGGGTATCTCATGAAGAAGACGTAAGCAGCTATGCCTCATATATCTCGGGCATAAGTTTTTCCATTTTCCCTGTTCCTCACCGGTCAAAGAATGATGATGAAGGGAAAAGAAACTAATGAACAGACTATGGTGGATTTCTTATTTTTCTGGAACTAGCAAAATTGTTCATATCAGGTGATATGTTGTAGCTGCTTAACTGCCATGCGGGGTGACCTGTGCTTTTATTGACCTTCACATAGATTCTTTTTGTAAAGCTTAGGAGGATGAACTTCTCCTTTTGGCCCCCCCTTTCCCTCATCCTTTCTTTTGTGCTTCAGTTTAAGAGATTTTGGTAATGGGATGCTGAAGACTTAATAATCTGCCCAATTTCGGCATGCTGGAAAAACCAGTGAGGGAGTATCATGTTTTTATCAATGCTTGTCTTGTCTGCCGACTGTAGCCAAAGAGGTAGTCGGTGGATTCTCTCATCTCTTCCCACGCAAATTTGCTGACCTTAGATGATTTCTTTTTTATTTTTTGGCTTCTCACAATAATCAATTGTAAACACAGGGAAGTTAATAATTGTAAATTAATGTACTTTAGATGTGATATCCATCTTCATTTGCACATCCTTAAAAGAGAATCGATCAATTATAACCTTGAGAATATACACAAATACTACGCTTTATGTGCTGATTCTATTAATTTTAATAACCGCAAAATCCGAAAAATCATGATAAGTGGAATATTGTGAAACAAAAACCCTAGAAACAATGAAATCCAGAATTCCATTTAGGAGAGTGTTTTTAGGGGTGTTCGTATTTTTTATTTTAAAATATAGTTTTTTAAAAAATTATTTTTAATATTAATATATTAAAATAATAAAAATATTTCTTTTACAATTCATCCAAATACCTGATAAGTGAAATGTGTAAACACGGTAATTGAGTCTCCAACATTGTTTTACTTTCTTATGTGACTGGTATAATTTTTATTTTTAGATATATTTTTTAAAATATTTATTTAAAAAAATATAAAATTGATAATTTTTTAATATTTTTATGTGGTTATAATTTTGATATGTTAATGTTAAAAAAATTAATATATTTTCAAATAAAAAAACTATTTTAAAAAACACTTACATTATAATATCAAACATCCCCTTAAACTCTCACACCAAAACAAGCAACACATCTCCGGTCCAATACAAAACAAAATGACACCGTCTGTCTATTGCTCCAAGAGCCATAGATTCTCATCTGCTTTCACTTATTTATATTTATGTTTTTAAAATATTTTTAAAAAGAATTAATATTTTTAATTATTTTAATACAATGATATTAAAAATATTTTTTTACAAAAAATATTATTTTAATATATTTTAAAATACAAAATACTTTAAAAAATAACCACATTTATATTTTCAAACATTCTTAAAAGATCACTTTTGTCTCTGTTTTTTATTCCTTCAACACCATTAGTCTTTAGGCACTAGCACTGGACTGACTATGATAAAAATGTTTAGCCAAGGCCACGAGCTCTTTTGGTCGTAGCCCTGCTCTTTGAGGCCATGCAACTCCAAGTTGTAAAGCCGCTTAATTGAATTCACCTAATTGGTGGAAAATGAATTGTTGGAAAAAAATAAGCGGAAGATAAGCTGTTGCTATAATTGGATGGAATATAAATAAAGATAAGTTGTTGGTATAATTGATGAAAAATAAGTTATTAGGTATATATTTTTTTATAATTTATGGTTTTTATCTTTTAATTTTTGCTTATAAATAGATAATACATTAAAGTTTTAAATGCATATTAATATAAAGAGAAAAATAAAAAAAGAGTAATCCCACCGTAAAGTTATAAGGTATTTATAAAAAATAAAATAAAATATTTTTTTTATAATAATAAAAAGATTTTTAATTATTTTTTTATTATTATAAAGAAGTTATAATTATTAAGTTACTCAATGAATTAAATGAGATGGATTATATAAATTTTTATATATCTTATTTTTTATTTTATTATATTCTTTGTTTTTTATATTGTCCGGTGTGTATGACAGTATCCTAATACGCACGAGCTGCAGCCTCGTCATTTATAAACTTAATCTCAGAACCATGTGACAAAAGGTTACAGGCAATCAAACTTTTCAACAGTTGACTGAAGCACTTGATCATTGAACATTTTCAGTAGTTCTTCATAAGCATTGATCAGTAATTGGAGAGTGATACTCTACCAAACCAGGAAATTCCTGGGCGAGAGTGTGATTTGATCAAAGTAATACTTTCTGATTAAACCTCGATATCATAAAAAAATATTAATGAACTAATTAAGATATTATTTATTTGATATATTAATAATTTATTAATTTATATATTAGTTAATAAAAGATTAATCTATTATAATTTATTAATTAATCTATCAATTTATTTTCAAAGCATTTCTTTTATAATTTAAATAGAACTAACTTATTACTTTTGATCAAGATTATAATTAATGTCTTTTATTTTCTTTATTTATCTGAAATGTGCTTACAACACCTGGATTATTATTGTTACCTTTTTCTTATTATTTATTTGATACCTTCTTTTAATAAGTTTTTTTTTTAATATTTTTTTATTTATGTTTCAATTAATATCCATTCTCTATAATTTGTTATTTTTTTATTTAACTATTTTTTTTATGATAGACTTGTTTAAAATTATTTTATATATATATATATAACTTTTAAAGATATTATTCTGACTCATCTATATTTTTTTTATATTTTATATTAATAAAATTTATTTTTAAAATAAAATTTATTATTTTTAGATAATATTTCATAGATGTATAGCCTTATAAAATATTTTTTATTTTATTTATTTAATTTTATTTATATATCTATTTTTATTATTTCTTGAATGAATAAAAAGTATTTTTAATAATAAATTCAGTAATTACAACCGATTAAATACCACAAGATAAATATTTTGATTTATATGTATTTTTATTTTGTTTTTATTTGTTATCAATAATTTTTTTATTTATCTATTTAGATACATAGTTCATAATTTATTTAATTTTATGATTATATTAATTTTTAAATTTACGTTTCTAAATTTTTAATGACAAAAAATACATAAAAAAAGCCTTCCTATTTTAAAAATATATAACCCGAGATAAATCACATGGCACATAGCGATTGTGGGCAATAATCCTTTCCAAAATCCAAACCCGTGAGGATAAAATTGGCGGGAAACTATTGCCGAATCTCAAAACATCAAAACTCCCAAATCCGCGCCTCTCTCTCCACCTTTCTGCAAATCCATTTATGTCCAAACCCTAAAACACTCTCTCTCTCGCTCACCACTCAGACTCGCTATGCAAACTCAGCTCTGCAATACGCAAGTCGCCCTCATCGACTCCCTCACCACCACCACCGAATCTGATTTACAAGAGAAGGCATGGCACATCCTCGCACTCCTCCTCTCAATCGGCAACCCAACTCCAGCTCCAGACCTCGCATCTCACTGTACTCTTTTCAATGCTTCACCGGATCTCATCGAATCTCTCTGCTCAATCTCGAACTCACCAATCACTTTGACTTCCAGCTATGACAATAGTAGCGACAACTTCCTGGTCACCATTTCTCCACTTGGTCTTTTCGCTTTGAATCAATTCCTATCCAATTTCAACTTGATTGAAGCGTTTGCGACTCGGATCTGGCATGCAATCTGCGGCCTCGAGGTTCCTTTGGAGGATCTTGTGAGGATGTATTTTAGGAAACGGAAGCGAATTGGATTTGATTATGCAGGTGGTAAATTTCTATTTTATTTTTGCCTTTTGGATTACTGACTGACTTGTTAGATTATTGAATTTATGGTGGTGTTATTATGCAGTGTACGATAAGGATCAAGAAGTTTGTCCTTTGCCGAAAAGAATTCGAAATGATTGCTGGAAGGTAACTCTTGACTGGTTTACTTAATTATGATTTTTAGCAATTTGCTCGCACTTTTTTTTTGGAGTTAAAGCTAAAATCTACAATTTCATTGCGATTGCTTCACTTTAGCAAATTTAACATGGGCTACAGAACCTGGAAATGGTTTCGGTCTTTTTCTTTGGCCCTTGTATTTGCAAAGCAAGTATACGAGAACTGGGAAGTTTATGAGGAACTTGTGAAAGACTGTCTTAGTAGTTTCTGTTCATAAAGAAAATCGATGAAATAATTTTTCTGGAGCTAAGTAACACGGTCCTTGTAATACAACCCTGCAAAATACATTTTTATGACGTGTGTTATTTGTAAATCATGCAGCTACCTTTTCACTTAACCGGGGATGCCAGCAGCAGCATTAATGTTGAACCAAGTTACATGCTAACCCAGCCAAATAATGTTATTCTTTTACCTGACTTTTTTGATAAAACCTTAGCCAGCGAATTAGGTTGTAAATTAAGGAATGTTGAACATGTAGAAGATGAGATGAATACAGGGGCTATTGTGGAAATCAAGGAGGATAAGAGAATGATGGCATGTGAGCTTGATGAAGATTTTGCTCTTCCCTTTGCAATGTTGGATAACGAAGCTGTATTCCAAGAGGCTAAAGTGGATGAGATAGATATTGAAAGTAGAATAGACATCAATGCCACATGTTGCTTGGCTAGTGTCAAATGGAGGAAAACATTTTCGTTGGAGTTTACGAGTATTAATGGTGCTTGTAATGGTACAAATGACTGTGATATTGAAACTGTAAGAACTGGTACAAATGACTGTCATATTGAAACTGTAAGAACTGAAACCAACGAAGAACTGTTAATTGATTATGGTAAAATGGAAGGGGAAGGCACAAACCATTTTCAGTCAACTAATACTACTTTTAATATGCCACAAGAAAGCAACTTTAGAAGGATGAATGAGCTGAGTTCTCTAGATAAAGAGGCAATAACTAACCATGTGAAAAATCAGGCTAAGGTTTCAACTACTGAGCTTTGTGTTCCTCCAAAGAAGTTAAAAGACTCAAAACCCTCCACCAAGATTAGGGTCACAACTGGTGTTGCTGCTTCTCCAAGACAGCAAGCACTCTGCCAGTCCATAGAACAAAAGAAGGCTGTTAACCCTCCTAAAGAGAACCAGCGCAGGAGAAAGGATCACATGAAAATCAGCATGGGGCAAAAATCAAAGCAGACATGCAATGATATTCATACTAAAGAAAGAAAGAACGATTGCGCCCTTAATTCTCCCAAGGTAAGCTTGACTCCTGCAAATTCTATGTTCGTAAGCTTTACACGTGCACCTGTTCAG